TTTCCACACTTTCACATTTCACCACAGGATGCAAGTGGTGAGGAGAAATCAGAGAGGAGAGAGGCAGATAACTCAGCACTGAGGGGAGGAGCAGCTGAGCCCTCCCAGGGTGGCTGTTGGGCAGCCCTGGCAGTGCCATGCTGGGCTCTTGGAGCATCCCTGGCCAGCCCAGAAACGATGTGTGAGGGGGGTTCTGCACCCAGCAGAATTCTGGCTCAGTCTCCAGGGTCTCTTTCCAAGTTTGGACTATTCTGTCAACTGCAATATGTACATGGATGGGCATTTCTTCTTGCAAAGTTTTGGGAGCTCAGGCATTGTCCCTTGCCTGTGATGAAGCTGGATTGAAGGGCTTTGAGCTTGCTGGTGAAGATGCTGGTTGAGAGATGAACAACTTCTTTCTTAAATTTACTGGATTGTTTCCTTTGTCTGCTTCGGACTACTGACTAATTACATCCTTTGAAAAATGTTTCATTTGTCTAGTTCTTTGGGCCCAGTGCACTGTGTGTCAGTGAAGTGTTTTATTTGTATTAAATTGCATTGACAAACGTCCCTTTTCTAGTGTGGAGGTGAGGTTTGTGCACATGCTTGTGTTTTCATTTCATATATAAGCTCTCGTGTCATCCTGACAGCAGTGGGTGGGCACCCTCCTCCCTGCTTCTGCTGTTTCTAGCCTTGGAATGGACTATTTTGTGCAAGTTTTGGTTCCCACATCCTCAGCTCTTCAAACTGTGAGGCAGAAAGTAAGTATGAGTGTTTTGGAGAGAGCTGGCTGACCAAATGGCCCGCTGTTTTTTTCCTTTTATTACCAGTTGCTAAGAAATGTGTGAAGGAAGCTGTCAAGCACACTTTTATGGGATTACTTTCCATATAAATGGCTGCCAGGATCACCGAAGTGTGGCCTCAGAGGAGAGAGGTAGCAGCTCCCAAGGTCAGGAACGGCAGGGAGGTGTCCCGGGCAGGCAGGGACTGGCAGTGACTTTCAGATAGACAGGGAGACACTCCTGATGTGGCTCCCCTGGGCATGCTCTGTGCCAGGACACATCATGGAGAGTTTTTCTTGCCTTAGAAGGGGCTGTTCTGGCTGCTGTGTTTGGTTCTCCTTGGAAATGGGAAGTCCTATGTTTTGCAATCCCAGCACACAGTGGAAATGAGGAGTCTGGACAAGGGATGGAGTTCACGGTGCCTGAGAGCAGAGCTTTCATCCATCTGAAGCTTTGGTAGTTTCTATGTCCAAAATATTGTGATTTTTTTCCATTGATTTTCATTTTTCTGCAGCCCCTTACCCATGGGCAAGCACTGTGGCACCAGGCTGCAGCTTTCAACAGCAGCATCACTAGTTTATTAGCTTGTGGCCTTAGGCAAACCTGAAATCATTAACAGCCCATTTGTTGGGCTAACGACTCTTTTTTACTAGATGTATAATTTAATATATGGTTACTTTCATGCCTAATTATGCTCTTCAAAGCTTCTTTTGAAGGAATTTATTTTTCTGCATGCGTGTATTGAGAGGGTTGGGAGCTGGCTGGCTTTTCTTGCATGCTGCCCTGTGTTAAAATCTAGATAGTTTATGTAAAAAGATTTTAATTTAGATATGGGAATTTCCCCCGTTGCTCATTCTTTCAATATTTTTGTCTTTGAGTGCTTGAAAAATAAATAGTGGTGAATTACCAACAGGTTTTAAATGGCATCATTTCATGTCCTATTGTAGCTTGGTACATTGTTTTGGACAAGACGTAAACCCAAAGTCCTGATCAATAGGGCCATTGTGGCAGCAGCTTCCAAATGAATGTGAGCCTTGATCTCAGTGTCCTGGCCGTGTTCCAGCCTGGTTCACATTTTACTCAACAGCAAGTCCCACTTCTGTTCCCGTTAACCTCAGTGGGAACAGAGGCAGACCACTGTAAAGTGCTGCTAATCCCACGTGCCATTTGCATGCAGTGCTTGTAAAGCATTCTGGGATCAGTTTGGGAAAAAAGGCTATGCATGTAAGATGTTTTTCATTGGCATCCCAAATCCTGTGCCATATCAGTGAAAGAAGGTTATGACTTTGTCCATCGGGATAATTTTTTATTTTTTTTTTTTTTTGAGCTAGGCAGCTGATTGGGAAGAATAATAAAGATGAATTTGATTTGCTTTCTGTGAGCTCTAGTGTCCCCTTCATGGAGATTAAAAATTTCCCGGTGCTGTTTTCAGCTCCACAGAGCAAGCAAAAGCTAATCTCCTGCTTGGATATCCTCACACCACTGCCATCCACTAATAGGATCGCCATACAGTTTTGACTTAACAGGCACTGGGAGAGGATAATCCTGTTTATTCGGTCATCCAAAACACTGATGATCTGAGATAATCAGTGGGCTGAGAGCAGGGGAGGAGGAGGGACCTGCGAGGTTTGCTTTGCTGTGTGGTTTGTCTGGTCAGATGCTTCGTGCCAGGGAATGGCTCAATCTCATTACTGCAGCCCAGAGAGAACATGGGAGGGTACCAAAAACCTCCTCCCAACACCAGCCCTGGAGAGCCACCCTGATAAAACAACAGCCTTAGCAGTGCCTGGTCCAGATGTTTCGCTCAACAGTTTTAAATTATTCTTTCTGTGACTGATTTAATATAGAAATACTCAGACGAGTGTCCAAGCGGCCACGGGAGGCACTTTGTACAAAACGCTTTGGCTACCAGGTGGCAGAGGCTGGGTGTAAATGGATCAGCTCCCAGTACTCACTCACATTTGGAACCTTACACAAAGCCAGTCCTTGGATCCAAACTTGCTAAAAGTAAAACCAGTTCCATATTTGCCAGACATGAGACACTGCTTTGAATATTTGTGAGCGGCCACTGGATCTCTGGGAATGTAGGAGCACGTGCTGCAAAGCCCTTTCCAAGAAATATAATCTGTAAGAAACTTTCCCCAGTGATTTAGAGATATGCCTTGAAACTGGGCTGTACAGAATCTGTTAGAGGGCATGTCAGTGAGCTTTCAAATTACTTTCTTTTTTTTGCTCTTGTAATCACTAAAGCTTTCACACTTCATATTATAACCCATTAGGTTATTGCCTCAGGTTTCTGTGAAAAGCTCCATCTTCAATTTGATCTCAGTCAATGTGCATTTTGTAGATAGACTGACTTTGAAGCCTCATTTTATGATCTCTGAGCTGTCATAGTCCAGATGACAGGTTTATAGTTTGGGAAGCCAGTAGCAATAGCTGAGCTCACTAGTCTTTGTAAGTAATGCACTGTCACTAGGTGCAGCTCCTCACCATGGTGACACTGCAAATATTGAGCACAAAATGATTCATGGGACCCAATACAATGCTTACTTTAATTAATATTTTACAAGATAACTAGCTTTGTTTAACTTTCCAGATGGGAGTGGATTGGGGAGATCCGAAGGACGGAATGTTGCTATGTAAAATTTATGGGCGCTCATATTTGTGTGCTCGTTTTTAAAATTAAATTGAGAAAATATTATTTGTTTCCTTCTCTCTCTGCTGGGTCCTGCAAGGGTCTGGGGGATTTTCTGTGTGCCAGTGTTAAATGATGAGCTCTGAAAAGCAATGTTCTTGCTCTCCTGCCTTCCTCCCTCCCTTTGTATTCCCATGCAGTCAGTGTTGCAGGGCTGTGTCCTTCCTGTGAGTGCTTTGGAATACCATGTGCAGAGAGCACAGTGCTGTGACCCAGCCCTGGCTGGAGGGGCACAGCATCACTGGCTCTGCTCCAGGTGACCACTGGTGCATCCTGACCATCAGACCCCTCAGACTCGAGGTTTAGCCATATTTCCCTGAGAAAATTACATGTTTTGGGTAAATAACGCTGGATTCTTTACTGAGGTTGGCAGGAAGTAAAGGAGTATGGCAGTTGCAGGCCTTTGGGGCAATACAGGAAATTAATAATTAGGAAATTAGCCACAGTGGTATGCTATGATGAGCTTATTCCAAATTTCCATGCACCTTAACTGGAATTCATTGCACCTAAAGATCAATCTATAAACCAGGAAAAGAGTTTTACTTGACAGAGGATGCATCAGCCCATCTATTTAGGTGGTGGTCACATCATCCATAGAAGTGGTCAAATCCAGGGTCTTCCCTTTGGATATGTCCTAACAATCTGAGATAGCAGTTCACATTCACAGCCATGACCTCTCACAGCAATGTCACAATGTCCAACATGGGGGAGGCTTGTGAGTACAAACCACTGAAGAAAAACTGTTTCTCAGTGCTGAGGTTTATCTGTAAATTCCCCTACTACAACTAAGACTTCCTTTTGTAGTTTTTAGAACTGCAACTGTAAATAAGCAAACATTATTGGATCTTTTAAACTCATGAGCATTCTTCTACAAGCAGGAAAAAAAGTGGCCCATCATTACTCCTGTTTGTCACAGGGCTCCAAGAAATGCCCATTAGTGTGTGTCCAACCCCTTTATATAAAACTGAGAGCAATGAAGTCACTGACAGCGCTTTTATTTGTCTGTATTGAGTCCTGAATAGATGGCAGAGAAAAAAATCCTGCATTAATAAAAGAATAAATTCCTCTTCACGTTAACATCAAATACTTCTAGAATGATGAAAAGATTTGGGTTCACTCCAGTGTGGTTTTCCCCGTGTGGTTGGTTTTTGCATTTCTTTCAACTTGCTCTTTGTAATCCATTTCCAGTTGGGCTTTTTTATTTTCCAAGTCTGACATATAGCGTGATGTTACAAATTCTGGCCTGTGGCAGCTTGAGGAATATTTATTTGTTTAGGCAAAATATCTTTCCTTCCAAGTCTGTTTTAAATGCCATAGAAATGTTTTCTTACGCCTTTTGTTTGTCGTTGTTGGTTATTAGAAACCTCTGCTCAAGGTCACCAGTGACACAACCATCCTTTGCAGGAGGCATTTCCAGGGATTTTGCGTGGATGGCTTCAGGAAATCAGGAGGGGATGATAGAGAGGAGAGGAAGATCGAGGGATAAGAACTTTTTCTACAGTATTTGAAAGCTTTCTTTTTCTTTGCAATATGCAGTAGAAGAAGGGAGGAGTTGAAAGCTGAAGCTGTGAAACGCAAGCCTGGCCCAGTCTGATGTCAGGGGACAACCTCTGGTGAGCTTTGTTTCTTTCTCTGTCCTCGTGGTTGGGAATATGCCATGATTTAAAACTGCTGTAGCATTAACTGCCCCATTACACACAGCAGAAAGCTGAGGGACCGACCTCATCTGCTAGAACAAGTGTTTTAATGCTGTCCAAAGTTCAAATCAATCAAAAGGTCAAGCTTGTTTAAGACAGTGAGCGATAAGGGGAGGGGATGTCTCGGGAAGCTCATTCCTAGTTGTTGGAATTAAGCCAACCTGACTGCAGGAAAATCTCCAAATAGCAAGAACCCTGGAGAACAGTGACAGCTGGGAAACTGTGGGCTGAGCCTCCCCTTGCTGGAGCCAGAGGATTCCCATCAAATACAACAGAAGAAGAATAGACCCTGGTGAATAGGGAGGGATGGAAGGGAAGAGGGAACTCACACCTTGCTCAGTTGAGACTGGACCTTTTTCCCACACCATCAAAGGCAGAGTTTTGCCCTCTCAGTGTTTTCTTCTGTGCAAGGATAACATGGAAAACTTTCTGTGGAAAACTCTCCTTCTGGTTTTGTGAGGAGCTGCTCAGCACTTTGGAAAACTCCTTCCATAGTTTGTAATGGCTGCTTTCTCAAGGGTCTAATGGCTTTTTTTAAAACAAACCAAAATAAATTAAAAAAAAGACAAGAGGGGCTGAGGACTTCTTAGAGTATGTTCCTGCCATTTGAGTTGTATGATGGGGGGCATTAGTGGGGAGCCCATTAGCCTCCGTGGCACATGGCCATGCTTTCATAAGCTTGCAAGACAGGATTTTTTCTATATACTTTTTTGTGTGTGCATGTCAAAGAAAGCATTCTCCAAGGGCCAACTACAGAAAAAAATCCCTGGTCTTTTTGGCAGAATTCCCTGGTACTTACACAGCCAGGATTTTCTGTGCTCCAGCCCTGGTGTGTGACCCATGCTCTCAACACATCCAGGACCAAATGAGGATCTTTTGACTCAGGGCTGAATCTGACCATTTTTCTTCTATGGAAAAGATGTAAATAATTCTAGGGATGGGTGGAGAAAGGTGATATTTGGGATAAGGAAAGGTGATCCAGGCTGCTAGCCTGGCCCTAAGAGGAAGGATGGGTTGAGGACCAAGCCATAGACCTGCTGTATCACAGGACCACCATTGCTTATAGATCTGATGGGAAGCAGCAGAAAGACCCCCAGACCTGGAGGGAGGCTACACAGAAGCTTGGGGGCTGTGCTGGTGGATGAACAGCCACTCATTTTTGTTACCACATTGCTCATATCCAGCTGAAAGTAAATGGTAACTGAAAGCCCTGTGGTTCCCCTTGTGCTCTGTTCTGCAGGAGCACTAACACAGTGCAGGCAGAGGGTGTTTTGGGTATCCTGGGCCTGTTGCTGTTGATGTTGGTCTTCTCAGCAGTGAGCAATACAGTGGCTACAGGTTTACCAATCCAGTGGCCACCGCACACCCCAAAAGAATTGGCATGGAATTAAGAAATAGAGGGTGTCCCTTGGGAAGGCAGGAGGCATCATAAGCCTGGGATGCAGCTGAAGAGCTGGCAAAAGTTCCCTCAGTCCAGCTCCAGACTGCTCAGCCCATGAGGGCACCTGCCTATCTGGTCCCTCCAGCCACCAGGTCAGGCCTGTGCTGCTTTCACTCACCTGCAACTTCACCACTGGCAGAACCAGCAATGTTGCAACAGAGAATGTGGATTTTTCTGAGCTCTAATTCATGACACCAGATGTGCCTGTGCTTTTTTTTCAAGCTCATTTGAATGTATGCAGTGGACATCTAGCTTTGAAAAATCACCGTTTGCCAGATGTCTTTTAAAATCATCAGTTACCAGATGTCTTTTAAATTGTAAACCTCTGTAGTCAGAGGTTAAAACTGTGTCAAAACAGGCACTGATAAGAATTCATATTGCATTTAAAATGTACTATGATTTCCTCCAGCTCTTTCCCCTGAGAAGTTCTTGCATGGAAATTTTATGGCTCGCGAAAGATTTGCCACCCGCCCATCGCTATAGAGTCAGTGATAAATGCTTTTAATAATTAACAGTGGCAGGGGGCCTCTGTCTCATGGATATCTCACCTCTCAGACAGCAGAAATAAGGCCTGTTGAACAGGAAGAGTCACAAGGGCTGCACAGTGGTGGAGGGTTCCTGCAGCTGTACAGTTTGGGTCCCAGTGCAGATCTTCTACGACTGGAGTTATTTGTGAGCAGGATTTTGTCCTGTGCCAAGTTTGGAGCTCAAGGCAGCCAGAGGAGCAGGGATGCTTGAAGAGTTCCTAAGGTAAAAGAGGTCTGGGGGCAGTTTGGGGCTGGAAAGAGGCTGTGCCAGTCGCAAGGACAAACAGGTTAGGCTGTGAGTTTCCTTCTTAATCCAACTCTCCAGGGTCTCATCCAGCCTCTGTGCTGGCTGCCAAAAGCTCATACTGAGCGGCTATTTTGGGATACAGCAACACCAAGTGTTACTTCAGAGATGTTTGGAGAGAGATTTAATAAAATCAACTAATAAGGTTTGACGTGCTGAAGATTAGAAAGAGCCATTCTGAGCATCTGTGCTGACCTCAGGGGTGGGAGGCTCAGGGGAGTCATGTGTGTCCAGGGCATGGATGCCTTCCTGGGATGGCTGGTGGGACAGGACTGCAAACTGCCTTGGGCTGTCAGCTTCTGCTTTTGTTTTGATGGTTTAGGTTGGGGGTTTTTTGCCTTTTTTGTCATAGAACCAGCCCAGAGTAGAATCACGAGATTGGTGTTTATTACTTTCCAAATAATCTATACTCTGGTTTTAGTGCTGACACCGTATGAAGGGCTGTGTCACCGCTGCACTCATGTTTCCATGTGACACCACAGATTACTGTTTTTTCCCATTTCATAACTAATAAGTGAAGTGAGTTTGACAGCCTTGGTTCCCATGTCACAGATAGGCTCGGTTAGCAGCAAATTCTTGTCAGGAGAAGAGAGTTACAGCTCAAGCTTAAAATGTGCTAGCATCCAGTGCAAAGCTTTAAATTCTTGACCAAAGTTAGATAAGGCCAGCTGAAAGTGTGACGTTTGAAATACACTATCTATTTATCTTTTCCTTCTGACCAAAAATACCTAGAGTGCAAGTATGTGTCTTTGCATCCAAGCAGAGAACAGTTGAGCTCCTCTAGAGAAAAGTATAAACACAGAACTTTAAATATTCTGTTAAAATCTGTGCAACTGTCCCTCTCCCTACATGTGTATATATTATCTATATTGAAAAAAAATGGTGTGTATGTACACATCATTAAAGAAAAAAGAATGATTAGTTTTCAAGGTATAGGAAGCTTATTTAAGTGGTAGTAAGAAAAAATTGTTAGCTCTCCCCCAGTAGTCATTAATAGCTCCGAGCTCCAGCCTGAGTACAGATGGAGCTTTGATATGATCACAGTTTTGCAGTGAGTGTGTGCTGTATATCGGGCTGCTAATCCCGTGGTGGAAATCACCTCCTCCTAACACCTGGTGCTAGGACCTGACACAACTTGTTTCAGCTACAGCTTATGCAGCCTCATGGGCTGGATTTGGGCAGCTCAGAAAGCACTGGGCACTCTCTGCCTGGTGCTGTGTGCTGATGTCCTCCCATAAAACCTCCCCTCTGGAGCTGCTGTCCCAGGCTGCCCTCCTGGGCCACTTTCAGCCTGAACATTCATTCAAGCCCCTTTTCTCTGTGCTGGATGGGTGCAGGGTGCAGGGTTTGTGTTTAGACAATGGTTTTAGTTATGTTTTCCAGCGGGATGAGCTGTTCCACCTCCCAGCTTGGGTGAGGGAGGAACAGTGTGTGAAATACAGCAACTTCTGAGGTCAGATGAGGAGCAAGTGCCTGTGGAGTAGGGAGCCCTGGGCCCTTTGGCTACAGCTCTGGGCATCTTCAGGGAATGCTGTTTCCAGAGCCTCCCTGGCTGCCTGGGGCTTGGCAGGGAGCATAAGTGCCATAAAAACTGGAGTCAGATGTAGAGTCCGGATGGTTTTGGCCTCTTTGCTAATTTTCAACAATCAGATCTTGTTACTTAAGAGTTTTCTAGAAGCTGAATGGAAGACTGGAGGGGGTTTTGGAGGGGCTTTTTTGGTAATAGTTTGCTAAATTTATGGTTTAGATCTGAAGGGACCCTTAGCCTGACCTCTGGTATATAACAGAGAGTATTGAATTTCCTGCACTTAACTCCCACAGTCTATCCAAGAACTGCCTAATCACAGTGCTTTCCTAGGAAAGCAAACACTTAAATGCACTCATTTCAGCATGGTCGAATGCTTGTTATTCCTGATAGTTAGAATGAATGGGGATTTTCAAGAAGGCTCTTGGATGATCTCCTGACCAAGGCTTTCCCTGCCTTCCCCTTGATCCCATCCCTCTCCCCAAACTGCACCCCCATGCTGCTTGTCTCCTTTCCTGGTTGTGCTGAAGGTTATAGAGATATTAAATAAGCTTGAGGGGCAGAGGAAGAAGAGGTATCCATTTTGGGAATTAAGAAGGGGCAGACATGTAACCCAGCTCAGCAGCAATGGGGTTAATCTGACTGTGCCCCACATTTGGGTGGGAATTTGTGAACTCAAAGCAGGTATTTATTATTCCACATAGATGTTTGCAATGACATATGAGCCATCACTGCTGTTCCTTTGCCTTGCAATGGCACCGTGACAGAAACCCTGCAGGACCAGGCACTGCACCAGTGCAGAACAAAAAGCTCTCCCTACCCCAAAGAAGTCTGAGACTCATAAGGTAATTACTTATCTTTGTCCATTAATTTTCCTTTTTTTTTTTTTTAAGTTCCCAGATAATATTGTTTCTCTCCCAGCCTCAAAGTACAGCAACAAATAAATGATTTCAAGTATCCTCCTGAGATAGGGAGAACTGAGATAGATGTTGCCAGCAGGCACTGATCCACCTGTGGTGATGGAAGGTTGAGGGATTCATGGGGGAATGACAGACCTGGAAAGCTGCAACATGGCTTTTCTAAAATGACACAGCCAAAGATATTCTAGAGATTATATCCTCCAAAAACTCGGTGGTCAAGGGCTTAATGACTTAAATAGCAGTCAAATGTCTGCTTGTTATCAATCACCTGTTGCCAGTTGAACTGCATTAATGAGGGTTTCTTGATAAAAGCTGCCTTATCATCCGGAACTGAGATACCCAGCCTAATGTGCTCCAGCAAGGCTTGAGGAAATGCTCCTCTTAGCAGCAATGAGACGATGTGTCGCTTTCCTGAATTAGCCTGAGTCAAATGGGTGGTCAGGCCCTCCAGAAAGAAGCAATTTCTTTCACCGCTTGTGTTACAGGAGTGCTTTAGCCATGTGTCAGAAAGCATTCTGGCTGTCTTGCAAGAGTTTAGAGTCCAACCAAACACACCTTGGTGGCCATTTGCAGTGGCCAGTGTTGCAGGTCACAGGGCAGGGTCACCGTACCCTGAGGGAGTGGCACAGGGTTTCACTGTACATCCCCCCGCCATAACCACTTACCTCCTTGGAGAAAATGGGTTGGAAATGGTATTTAACATTGTTGATGACAATTTTTCCAGATTTATTACCTGTTTTTTGTTCACTGTTTGGCTGCCTGCTCCCCTTCCATCTGCCAACCCTGTAATCCACCTCCTCTTATCTCAGCACAGTTCGCTCCACCTCTTGCTCATTTTTGTTTTATTGCCCAGCTAATCTCATTCTCCTGCTTTTCCTGACACTGCTCCCCTCTCCCCATCTGTGGAGATTAAATCACTTCTCCTTTTGTTTGATGCCGCTCAACATTCCCCCATTTCACTCAGGCTTTGGGATACTTCCAGGCACTTTTGCTGTTGTTGCACACATCCATTTTCCTGGCACAAAAAGGCCCATCAGCATCTGATGGAAGCGTTACTGAGTCCTCGTTTCAACCAGTTCTCAGAGATGTCCTGAATGTGAAATGGAGCTGAGCTCAGTCTGCACAGTGCAGCAGAGGCAGGTGTGTGTGTCAGGAACTCCAGGAGCATCCACAGGGTGCTCAGGGCAGCTCTAGAGTGGTGACAGAGCCTGGCATCTGAATATTAGCCAAGAAAACTCGAGATCAAAGGCATGGGGTAAAAAAATCTCCAAGCTACCAAAATGTGAACTTTTGGAAGTGGTTTTCAATATTGTTGGTAATGTATCAGTGTAGTCAACCATCATCCCTATTTACATCTAGTGGCTTGTCAGTGTTCATGGCCCCAACAGTGTCATTCTAGTTACTGCTGAGAGTTGCTGGGGGTTTTAGGCTCAAGGTTGAAGCCAGTCTCCCTGTTCAAGGGTGTTAAGTGCATCCTGGTTTGGGGCACAACTGCAGCTATGGGGGAGGACAGTGGATTTTCATGCCGTGTGTTTCTGGCACCCTTCCACCTTCCTGCAGAGAGAACAGTGCTGGAGACTCCCCTACCAGTATTTCCTCCTCCTGTGTGACTGTGCAAGTCCACTGACTGCACTGCTGCTTGTGTTGGCTCAGAACTGGAACCAGCAGAGCCTTGAACCCCCTGGCAAACCCTGGACAATTTCAAAATGCCTTGCAGGGACCACGTGCACTGGCAGGACTCCTCACAGCTGTCAGTCGCTGTTCCTCCTCACTGTGAGCACCCCACAGTGTTTGCTGCCAGAACAAACCCTAAAGTCTTCAAATAACCCCCCTTTGAGTACATGGGAGATGCTTCCCTTAGCAAGGACAGCTGCTGTTTGGCCCTAATCATTGAGTTTAGATGGTTTTTTTTATTCTGTTTGGGTTGTATCTCTTGCCTTAATCTCCACTTGCAATGCTAACCATGATGCATTTGCTATATGTCCCCTCACTACTTTTATCTACCAACATGTTTTAAATAGGTTTAAAGAGTACAGGAGCTAAAAAAAAAAAAAATAAAAAAATCAGGCAGCTTCAGATGAAAGCCAGCAGCAGGCCCTTAAAAATAGAGTGGCAGCCCTGCACGAGGTGCCGAGTAAGTGGGTGCACGGGAGGGGAGCAGAGAGGCTGCAGAGGCTCTGTTTAAACAGGAGGTAAATAAGTGGCTGGGGGAGCTGCAGTTCATCTTGTTCCCTTACGTGTTGCCCAGATAATGCAACATATCTTCAGGCAGGCTGGTTCTAAAAATGGACACAGCTCTTGGGTTTCACTGGGTGACGCTCGGGCTGCGCTGTCCTACAGTCTGTGGGAGCAGTGAAATGGCATTTAGTGTTTCAAAAGCAGCAGCAGTACTCAGGTCTTGTCACTGGTACTTTATGAAGACTTCTATAATGAGGAATGTGTGACTTTATACCATGGTGCCTAAAGAAGCAGCTGCCTGTAAATCCCTGGGGTCAGGCAATGTTTTGTTAAAATTCCCCTTCCTGCTGTGGTTGACCTGTGAAAACAGCAATCATCTGACAGTGACAGCAGCACTTAATTAGTAATTCAGGATTAAAGTGTTCTGTCCAATGAGTAATTTCACAGAAGCAGAGTTTAGAATTGGAGCTGGTTTATTATAACAAAACTATTGACATGAAAGCCTCCTTGGCATTTTAATGGTCTTTTTCTTTGGTCTAAATATACATGAGAAGTTGAGAGGATGTTTAAATCTGAGCAGGGGATAAAAGGGACCAAGAGAAAGACTCAAAGGTCTTGTCCAAACTTCACACAGTTGTGTGAGCCACTGCCTTCCCTAGGACAGGGCATCATCCCAGGGAGCTGCACTATTCACCATTCCTCTCGCTGCTCCAGGGGTGTTAGTGTCTTTTATCTTCCTTCTCACCCTCCTCTCTCCTGCCTAGTTGAGCACAGCTCAGCTGTGCAAAGGATGAGTATTTGTTAACCTCCAGTGGCTGCAGTAATGGTCAACTGGCCCTTCAGTGCTACCAAAGAGACTGTGTTTGGGTTGGGCACATGCTGCTCACTGACGTGGAGAATTCTCCATTTCTTTCTAAATGAGACTCCTCAGGCTGTCACTCAGGAGAGAAAGGGCAGCAGGGCCCCTTGACCAAACCATGGCAAGCATGTTCTGTAGAAGGCAGCAGAGACTGCAGCCTTCCCTGTGGGAATAAAGTGATCCTCTGTTGAGTGAAGTGTTGCCTACAAGGTTAATTAGCTGTAGAAAATGAGCTCGGATACTTAGGAGTAATGAATCATAATGAATTGTTATGTTTGAGGAGTGACAAATCAAATTCATGCATATTTTGAACTACTTGTTTTAGTCAGAATGGAAAATAGTGCCTTGCTTTTTTCTGTTATTCTGCCTTCATGTTGAGATGTCAGGAAGCAAATCAACATGGCCAGAGTTTGTAAAGTCTGGCAGTGCTTGATTGCACAATATTTGATCTCTCTCCTGAGTCTTTGAGCTGGGCTAGGAGCAGGGGCTTCTCTGGAATCAGTACATTTGCCTCCACCTTCAGTAGATGGGATTTTGACTTGAAGAAACCCAAAACTTCTCCTAAACTAAAGAGAAAGAAAAAGTATTGTCCTAATCCTATGAGTGTTAGTGTCCTATGGCAGCTCTGATTGAGATGTAGCAATCTCATATAGGAAAGCAGATTGAATTACAGCCCCACCTCCCAGACCAAGGTGAGTCAAGGGACCTATTTGTAGCAAGATTCATCAGATCCTTCAGCTCCTGCTGTTCCTAGAAGAATCTCTGGAGTTTTTCTGTGGAATTAGATCCAGCAACCTAACAAGCTAAGGGGCAGACAGGCATTGTAACCTTTGAAATACCTGGCAAGTAAGGATAAGCAAGCTACTCCTACCTGGAAGATAACTTCTGGAATCTCAATGTAAGATGAAGGACATTGTGAAAAAACAGGATCTTGATAAGAAGAATTTGTTCTTAGCCCCCTTCAAGGATCATAACATATCCCTGGGTGAGCTGAAGCCTGACACAAGGTGCTGTGCTTTGGGGTATTTTTGGTGTGGTCCCAAGGCTCATCTGGTTCAAGGCTGGAGGAGCTGTGAGCAGGGGGAGGATTTGAATTCACAGCCTCTCTTTCAAATAGATCAGTGGTTCCAGGAGGGCAAGTGATACTGCTGCAGTGATTAAGTTCTTTGCTGGATTGATGCCTCTGGAAGTGTTTGGAGAGATTTGACAGATCTTTCAGTCTGTTGAAGGTTTCCATGGTGTTGGCCCAGCCATAACTGTGTGAGGCAAACTGTTTGTGTCACCCCTGGGAGAAGGCATCTTTCTCACTCACAGAACAAAGAGCTCTTGGGCGTTCAAAGACAAAAGGTACCAACTGACATTTAGTTCTGCTACTAATTATATGTCAAAAACTAATACAAGTTAAGACTAAATTAGTACACTTCTCCAGATGTTTTCACAGTTACCCTGCCTGCAGCACTGTGGGTTATGTTCTGAGTTGTTAGGTACTCAAACTGGTCCTTCTCATCTCTGCTGATGTGGTTGCTCCTGGCATGATCAGGTGCAAACTCCCACTTATTAAGTGCTATGAAGGAATCATTCTGACACAAAGTGGAAAATTCTCCTTGGGGTTCAGAGCTCTTGCAAGAGGCAGCCAGTGAGGTGGCTGCTTATAGAGCTGACCCCATGCTTCGAGATGTGGATTCATATACAATATCTGTGAAAGCAGCTATTCTTGCTCTTGCCAAACTCCTCAGAAGACCCATAAAATGATGTTAGTTGTAAGCCACAAGCTGGCTCTTATCTTTGAATTGTTTTTCTCTGACAATTTTAAGAAGAGCTCAGCATGTTCTCAGTAGGAGCTGATGGATGCTGAGCACTTCTGAAATCCTGCCAACTTCATTTAGGTTCCTAAATGGGAACTGAGTGCTTTTGAACATATGATCCTAAGGGTGCATTTCATAACACTATAGCTCTGTCCATATCATTTCTTTCCTCTCTCACTGTCCCCAGAATGCTCCCAGCAGCAGCAATAACACCAGGAGCACTGGGCTAGTCAAGGCTTGAGTGATGCCTCAGTTGTGATGTCAGCTCAAGCCACATTGAACAGAATTAAATGACAGCAGTTAAAAGGTGCCTGTCTGCATCCAGTCTGCAGTAGGGTCACCCTCATCACTACCAGCATTATGGATATATTTGAGATAGCTGTGGTAGATTTTATATATATGTATGTATATGAAAACAAAAATCTAGTGCAAATTCTGCCTTGTTTTTCAGAGTATTTCATCCCCTGTTTCAGGCCACGTGCACTCTACTCAACAATGCTCTGACTCTCAATTTTGGGATTCAAATTTTCTCCTAAGTAGGTTCGTGGGGCAGATATAATGAATATTTTTTAGTGTTTGTGGAGCAGGGTAGGAGGGCAGACGAGCCTTTATCTGAAGCTTTTCTGACAGAGTTAGTGCATGGACAGCATCTGTTTTGGTCCTGTGAGGCTGACATCCTCTCCCAGCAGACTTGGCAGTGAGCAGAAGAACCACATGTCAAAAAATCTGGGGGGCCCATGCGCTGTGGACAAAAGTATGGCAAAGAATTTAAACATCAGTGAGTGGAGTGATGCTGGAGGGCTGGCTGAAAGCGATTAGCACAGTGCTCTGGAATGTGGCGTTTCAATAGCCGCTCCAGAAGGATCTGCAGCCCCATTGACTTCTGCAGCGTCAGGAAAGAGCCCTCAAACTCCAGCTTTTGCCAGTGTGAATGGGAACGTGCAGGGCTGTGTGTGCAATCACAGAGCTCCCTGCTCTGGCTCTGCACACCCTGCCCTGTGTCCTGCTGATGGGAGGTTTCCTTTGCTCCACGGGAATCCCATGCCCCAGTGACTCAGGTGGCTCTGGGTCCTCGTGCGTCGCCAGAACCCCCCCTTGTCAAATCTCCATCAATATCAGCTCCAGCTTTGCTGTTTGCCTACCCTGGGCCAAAGCACCAAAGGCCACCTGTGGCCATGATCCAGCTGTTGTCAGCTGTGCAGTCAGGTGGTGGGTGGGGTGGAGTTTGGGTGTTTTGTTGCCACGTGTGTCAGTGTGGGGCCTGGGTGTTTTGTTTCCACTGCTGCTGGGTTTTGGCCTCTTTGGGAATGCACCAAGTGGGACTAAGAATGTGTCTTTGTTCACATTCACTTGTTTAATTTTTTTTCTTTACGTTTTCCTTCCCCCTTCCCCCCTTCTGATTTCTAGGTAGATAATCAAAGTGTGAAATAAATTAAAAATAAAGCTGGGTAGAAGGCCTGGCTGGTGAGAGCACATACATTTTTAGTCGAGGTGGGAGAAGAAGGCGCTCATTCAAGCCCTCATGGAGGGCAGGGAATTCCCTGGCTTTTGTCTAAATATGGCATGAGAGAGCAGAGCACAGGCAGTGCAATGCTTCACTGAGGATTGTTTAAAAGGGAGCTTGGCAGTGGCCAGCAAGTAGGATTCTTGTGAAAACATGGCACAAGGAGTTGTTTGACAGATTCTGACATAGCAAAGTCTTTACAAGGGGCAAAAAAAAAAAAAGAAGGAAAAGAGAGAAACTGCAGAGTACATGAAGCCAAAAGCATAGTCTCTGCCTAGAAGATTGCAGAATAAAAGGCACTTAGCACTGAGTCACACCCTGCAAGCTCTGTGGGTCTGATCCTCTCAGTGATCGATTGCACTGAGTTAAAATCCCCTCCTAAATGATTGCCTGTTGTCAGTCATCCAGAAGAGGGGGTGAAGAGGAGTGAGAGCTGGGGAGGAGACTGCCATGGCTTGCACCCACTCACCAGAGTCTCTATCTCAGACTTGCCTGGTTGGATGGACCCATTCTCTGCCATCCCATGTTTCCCCCTGCAGGTAAATGACGTTTCACTAGCAGGTTTTTGGATGCAGCACTCAGTCCCAAGCAATCCCGTGGTTTGTGTAGGTGTCTCCCTTTTGCAAAGCTTATGCTGAGTTGTGGCTTTGAATATCTATTGCAGCAGTGAGCAATGATTCCTGCCTGGAAGAAAACCCCTCTCCCACCACCTCTGCCACGTCTGGAGACATTGCGAGTCCCTCAGAGAAAAAAGGTCTTTACACATCTCAGCAATGGAGAAATTTGCCTCCAGAATTCCAAGTCTACTCTTGAAATTTGGCCATTATGTGAGTGTGTTTTGAGAGAGGGAAAACTTATCTGGGATTCAGTGCATTTATGGAGGTCTCAGATGGAGACACTTCACTCGGTAACTCTGCTACTGACACCAGCTACTGAACAGACTGTGTAGCTCATACAGAGGAGGTCTTGGCTCAGGCTTCCCCATTTAAAGTGGAGCCCTCCCCTAAATTCACCTTGAATGCAACATCCATGCTCAATCACAGCTGGAGCTTCCTCACATCGAAGATAAGACACTCTTCCTCTGGTTGGTGGTTTGGACGGTGTCCTGCAATGTAAACTAGAATGATAGGAGTAGTCTGTAATTAGCACATAACCTCAGGCAGTTTTGTTCCTGAAATGCAAGGCCTAAGTTGTTCTGCTGCAATAGCATTGGTTTAGTGAGTCCATTAACTGCTCTGCATCATGTTAGTGAAAGCTGTTCCCTAAGAGCTGCAAAGGTATGGAATAGGAACCAGGAGTCTCTGATCCAGTCCTGCAGGCATCTTCCAGTGAAACCAAAGGGAAGCCCATCATATGTGTTGCCTGTGAGATGCACTCCATGGCAAAGCAACGAAACCCAAGAGTTTCTGGATCATCTTAGCAAAGCTCGGGGGAGAGTGAAGGCACGGGAGCACTCCCCTACCCTTTTAAACATTTCAGTTGATGTTGTTAATTGTAGTGGAGCTGCTGCAAATATTTTGGAAAGCAAATATTTGATGTCCTCTTCCAGCAGAAAATAAGTCGAAGGACCAACCTGCTGCCACTCACTTGGTCATTGCAACAAAACCAGGGCTGAGAATCAATAGCAACGATGTTGAGCTTTTGTGGTCACCTCCTCTCCAAACAAGGGCTGTGATGTGAGAGCAAACAACACCTGCTTGGAGGAACTGGGCACGGGCTGAAAGGGACCTGGTGGGCAGAGGCTGTTTGTGCAGCACTGGGCTCTGGGGTGGGGCTGCTGGCAGAGGCAGGAGGAAGATGATATCTCCATCAGCCCGTGCTAATGCGAGAGGCAGAAATGGGCCTGTGCCCTGTGCCCTGGCTGGTGAGTGATGGACAACAACTCCTCCGTGCCTGCCAGGAGGAAAGCCCTGGAGTGGGACTGCCATCCAGCCAGTCCTGCTCTTGGCTGGGGTGTGGGTCACATCGGAGGACAAATCGAAGGGTTTTCACAAGGAGAAAATTGGGCAGCTCCTTATGTGGTGGAGGCAGCAGATCAGTCACCACTCACATCTCTGCCCAAGTATGAATTCTCTAAGGAAGACCAATATCACTTTGCCCTAACTGGAAAGCAGGGGAGATGGCACGTACTTCATGTGCTCTGGCTGGGCCCAGATACCCAATGTGCAAGTGATCTGCTTTTGGGTGCTGCTTTTTTTCTTAATCTTATTTTTTTTGTTGTTTTTAGCCTTCTAAAAACAAACTTCGGATTCATCAGCTGGAAGTGATCTCATCACATTACAGATTCGCTTTCCTGGGAAACTGAACTTCTGGTATAATCATGGGAAAGTCTCACCTTCCCTTTCTTATTTTCTTTTAACTGAGTTTCTATTGAAATTAGCTTGGCAGACCAACACCTCAGAACGAAAGACACAAAAGAAAACCCTTTGTTACTACTATTTTTTTTAATCTCTTGATTTTCTTACCAATCTCGTGATTTTGAAGATAGCAAGTGATATTTGGATATTTAAAGACACATATTCAAATCCGTAGAGTAGGCAGGGTCCTTAATAATACATTTTACCAACAGTCTGTATATCCCACCGCTGGCAAAAAAACAGAGGCAAACCCTAATAATTAATTACTTCTCTGTCTTTTGTACTGTTCTTTGAACTGCAACATTTTTGTTCACTCCTACCCTTTTTCTAGCTCTTACAAATGCTCTGCACAACTGGAAGGTGGCTCAGCAAAGCCAGTGCAGTATCTCTGTAGCCAAGCAAGGACAGACTTGGCTCCTCTTCAAAGGGAGCTTTTATCGAGTGTTTAGTGTGATGTGACAAAGCAGGGAAGTGTGCCATGGATGCAATGCTTCCAAATCCCCACCTTCTACCTTGATTGAACTTGAGAACAATTATCCCTTGCCAGGGTGATGAGCCCTGCCAATGTGCACCTTGTTTACAGCTGTGCTCAGTTTTTAACTTATTTTCCTGTTTTGGACTAGGACAGCACGATTCTGCTTTATGAACTGGACAAAATCCATTTAAAATATCAAGTGTCTTGTATTTTACCACAGGAACCAGAGTGTGGTGTTTTGGGCTGGCAGCCCCAATGCCCCAGGATGACATTGCTCACGTGCCCAAAGTGACGCCTGGACTCCAGCAGACCTGCAAGGTTTCACTGTCAGTGTGGGAAAGCTTTGGATGGGGCCAGTAGAAACTGAAAAGATTTATTCTGAGATTATTTTACTGTGCTTGGAACAAGCATTTACTGTCTGGTGTGACTGAGCTTTAGACGCTGCTGTAAATTCCAGATGAAAATTGCACAGCATTTGCCATTCCGTTTTGCCCTATTTTATTTTGTGTTTCCTTTTCATTCCTAGATTCTGCTTTATTCTGAATTCTAATGAATTTTTAGATCATTGGATCAAAGTCTTACTAAAAAAAAGCAAAAAAAAAAAACCAAAAGAAAAACCAACAAAAAACCCCACACATTTTGGCCAAAAATATTTGGCTAAACGTTTTTATTTTACTAATTTCACCATTGTCTATAGCAGTCACTTTAAAAATGCCTGCACCCAAACCTAGTTTTACTTGAAAATATCCTCTTCCTTTTGTCTCTCTCTCTTTTTTTTTTTTTCTTCACAAGAACCAGGCCAGTTTTCAGAGAAACTTTAACATGAAAAATGCACATCAACACCCTGAGAAATTTCCATGTTTGGCTTCAAATCTGTCATGTTACATGGAGAAAAAAATATGTTGTAAATTTTCTTGTTCAGTCACTTTGTAGTTTGGTGGTTTTGCCTGCAGAATATATTGAGAACAGGAGCTTTTCTCCCTGGTCATTCCTGCTCTGCCCTATTTTTACCCAGCTGATCCCAGCCCATCGCTCTGTGCCCTGGCAACTTACTGGCTTCCTCCTCTTTTCTCTGGATTATATTCCCTCTTTTTGTTGACTAAAAGGACAAGTCTATTTCAGTTGAAGGAAGAGCCAAGATTATGATGTGGCACTGAACTTTGCTGAGGATTCACTGTTTGTCTCTGAAATCATCCTCGGACAGCGGTGAGACTCCAGACCCATCTCCTGGTTGGACTTGGCTCAGTGCTGTGATTCCAGGACTGGCATGAGGTCCCTCTCAGCACGTTCCAGGGTGCAGAGGCACCTCTGAGCAGTGAGGAGGGTTTTCCAGTGAGCCCGTGCTGAGGCAGCATCAGTCCAGCTCTTTGCTGCTTTGCCCACCTGGTGTGTGCAGGAAAAACCTCGGCTCAGCCTGGGCCAGACCCACCTGTGAGAGCGTGGATGGACGTGCCGTGCCGCAGGCTGGGATGTGCTGCTGGGAAATAGCGTTGGCTCTTGGCCAGCCTGGAGCAGGGAGGTGGCAGGGAGTGCCTTTGATGCCTCTGCTCCGGCTGAGCAGTGGCTCTGGGAGGGGTGGCCCCACGGACAGTCACAGTGAGACTCTCCAACAAGCTGTTCCCATTCCTGCTCGTCGTGGAAGCGGCAGCCCACATGTTCTCCGCTGTGCTGGAATATCAGCCGGCACCCTGGCTCTGTTGTTTCAGGCTGCAGTGGGTAATTTTTAATCCCTCTATTCAGAGTGTTTCTAGGAACAGGAGGAGAAACATACGGCATATGCTCACCTCGCCTCCCAGGAGGTGTGGGGGAGTGTGTCCCAGCAGCTGCTGGGGTAATCCTTGTCCTTCTGTCCCCAACCACATCTGAGAGGTGTGCCCAGCATGTCTGGGCATCACCCTGCAAGCAGGTGGGCTCCACTGGCTGGGCAGGGCTGAGGGGGGCAAAGTCCCTTCCTCCCTTCTGCAGCCAACAGGGGCATGGACAAGGGCACGTGCAGGGCACAGGAACTGGAGAAGTGACTCCATCATCTCCTGGGTTTCCCTGAGGCAGACCAGCTCCACAGTGGTGTGGGGGGCACCTCAAAGGCACAGGTTATCCCTCCACAGTCACACTGGGGCTTTTAGGGTACGGGTGCCATGAGTGTTTGAAAGTTGCTTGGATTAAGGACTCACATTTGGCCAAAGAGGGTCTCTGGTGAGATCTGGGCTGGATGCAGCTGTGATCTTAAAGCACACAAGGTATCTGCAGGAGTAGAGAGGGGGGAGCAGGCTGAGTGCTCAGCTACTGGGACCTACCTCCTGGATCCTGCAGCTCCCCCTGTCTTCCCTTGTCACCAAATCTCCAGCACATGAGGCTTTGATGCCCTGTCATTGCTCATTGTCCTGGCTCTCACCCTGACCCAACTGCAGCCGACGGGAATGGTGTCAGTGGGGCTGGTGGCATAACGAACATTTTGTCTTCTCCCTTCGCTTGTTCCCTCCTGTATCCCCTCCTGCCCACCCTGCTCTCTCTCTCTCACTGCATCGCCTGCTCTGGGCACCATCTGGTGAATTTTGGGCTGTCTCATCTCACCAACTGTCGTTTGTCCTGGCTGTGGTGTAAATGCGCTCACGTTTTGCTTCAAAGGACCCCTAAACCACTCTCTTTGTGGACCAGCCGGGCTGTCGGAGAGGAGCCAAGCCGTTGGCACTCAGCAAGCAACAAGCATTAATAAAAGCATTACAGTGAGGTTAGAGCCTCATTAAAGTAATGCTAACGAACCGGCTGCCTTCCAAAAGTATGAAATTTTTGCTAACACTTCCTCCTTCTAATTTTAAGTATATTTAAATCTTTCTAGGGAGGCAATACTCAGTCTTCCAGGCTACAGCATAAGCAAATCCCATTTCAGAGGAGCTGCTCTGGAAGTGCACTGGTGCCCCTGGGAGTGTTCTCCAGCCCCATCCTGCAGCCTCAGTGCCATGACCACACAGTGGGGCTGCCCAGACCTTTTTCCCCCTGTGCAGTGTCCTGGAGCTCACTCTACAGAAGCCCCAGTGCTCCAGAGTGCCTGCCAGCACCGGGGTATGTGGACTGAAGGTAGGGGCTGGACCCACTGCTGCCCCATGCTCCCAGTCTTGGCCACAGCCAGCAGACTTGGGTTAGAGCAGCCAAAGGAACCGCTAATTGACCCAGGCTGGCACGGGTCTGGCCCTGAGGTGCAGACAGTGCCCTTCATCACAGCTCTTCTCCACTACTGTTGACTCGCAGAGACACTGGGATGAAAGGCTTGGCAGCTCGTATCTGCTGCTGGCACCCTTTGCCAGGTGTGTCTGGAGGGGGGAGATCCCTCGGTTTGTGCCCCGTGGTCCACAAGCAGCGTCTGAGCTTTGCCGGGTGGAGATCGCTGGGCTCAGGGCTGGGACTGATGTGCCGAAGGGGCTTTGCTCTGGGACCCCCTCCAGCCTCCTCGAGCACCCTCAGGGCTGGCTCCAGGTGGTTCTCCTGGCTCCCCACGCTCCCCCCGGGCTGTGCAGCTCTGTGCCCGCCGCGGCAGACACCCAACTGCCCGCCGAGCCCGCGGCCCCATTGTAAAGCAAATTAATTCGCCGCCGCGCCGAGGAATAGCCGTGCTCTCGGGGAGGCTTGGCAGCAGCAGTGAGGAAAGCAGCTGCTCCAGGACTCACAGCCCCTTTTTATTTCATTTGCCTGGTTTTAGCAGCATGTGATGGGCACATGAGCAGCAGCTCTGCCGGACATCTCTCTGGCTGGGGGGCTGAAGCTGCTGTCTGCCCCACTCCTGTGTGAGCACACGGCTTCTCCCTGCTGGTCCTCCTCCTCTCACCCCAAACAGGTTTTTATTCTCCTACTCACTTTGAAGCAAACCCGGCAGTTTCATTGTCAAAGGACAGTGTTTGATGGATGGATCCCTCTCTTTTACCTTGCCTGATAGGGAGGGTACAGGGCAAACATGGTGTTTTAAACAATAAATACCACTTTCTTGTGTGGAAACAACCAGTCCAAATGGTCTCTGCTATGTTTAGAAGCCCGTTTGAAGGGTCTGCCTGAGGGAGAGGGTGTCATCAGAATGAACTAGGTGTTACAGCACTGCCTTATGTGCGACTTGTTGCAGAGACTCACTGAGAGCTCGATGAAGTTGCAGGTTTGTACTAAGGGTGTTCCCCCACTGCCTCCCGAATCTTGTGAGTTAGGGGGGCTGCAGAGGCAATTGCTCAGCTCCTGGGTGTCCATGCCTGGGGCTGGCAGTGTCTGTGGGAGTTCATGTCTTGCTGCAAGATTTCCTCTTCATTTCAAGCATTACAACACAGATTTTCCTCTTGCAAAGGCCCCAGCTCTGCAGACAGGCACTGTCCTCACTGCAGGGAAATTAACAGGGTGCCTCGGAGCAAAGGTAAAACTAAACTACATAAGTAAATGTTTGCAGGATCAGGACCTTATTCAGGCATAAATCAGGTAGCTCCAGCCAACAATAGAATTACCTCAGTATAAAATCCCATGTAAGCCAGTAAGATCAGCTCCAAACCTGCTATGAATTTGCTTTTTGTTTCCATGCCAAAAATATATCACTTCTAACTGCTGCAATCAGGGCTGGTCTTTTCAATTTATTTTTTTTAAGTGCTTTTGGGCACATTTATTTCCCGTCACCAGCAGATACGAGCGGAGCCTGACCCTCCTTCCCTTGGGCATGTCCCAGCCTGCTTTTGCCCACAATTAATTGTCGCTATCAGGGAATATTTTTTCTTTCCTTGCCTTTTTTTGTTACTGCATTTGGTAAACAAAGGGACAGCAGTGACGATCCAAAACCGTTCTTTTTATTTGCCTGGGAACAGAGTCAACTATTTGTGGGTCTTTTGTTGCTGATTTTTTTTCTCTTTTTAGCTGGTGACTGTTTAAACGGCTACTGGTACCTGTGGTGAGCATGTACTGGTGCTGTGGGATTTGTCACCTGATGGCACTGAAAATCACAGATGGGGCACTGATGAGGACAAGGAGCTGCACATGGAACGTGCCAGGTCAAACCAAAGGTCCAGGGTGCAGTGGTCCCTTCTGTCCTTCCCAAAGAATATGAAAATAGCCTGCAGGGTTTTTCTGGTGGCTGCACTTGCCTCAGTTTCCCCAGTTCTCAGCTCTCTGTTTTGAGGTGGTGCCCCAAGACAAGAAGCCTGGTGATGTTTGCACCTGGTTGAGCCAGGATGAGACTGGTTCTTGGAAATGAGCTTGTCAAAACAGCTGGGAGAAGGAAGGCAGGGAGGGATGAGAGATAGAGAGAAGGAAGCTGTAGGCTCTTTTAGCTTGAGGGCAGACTTACACTGGCCTCTCCATCCCTGGGGCCCATGCAGCAGCAGAGCAGGCAGTGAAGGCAGCTTCTGGAATGGTCTCTTCCTAGCAGATTCCAGTGTCATCCCCACCTGCCCCTCCAACTACAACCTACAGGGTGCTCCAAAAACCCAGGCAGAGCTTCTCTGCCCCATTGCACCAGGACACAGCTGGCCCTGGGACAGCACTGTGAGGAACAGGAATGCATTTTCCAAGGGACATTTAAGGTCTTCAGTTATTTTTGAAAATGGCTCAGAGGGTCCTAATTCATGTGCTGTAGAGAAAGGCTGCCTGTGAACACCCTGTATAGTGGGAGCTTTATAGGTGTTGCCTGTAAGTTACCACCAGGTGACTGTAGCTGCTGTTAACAGCGTTGGGCTTTGCTGGTGGCACACACAGAGCTTGGTATCCTGGGGATGTCTGAAATGGGAGTCCTTCCCTAACACCACCCAGGGGACGGCTGGCTGGCAAGGGAGATCAA